AACTACTGACCTTGTGGTTCACAGCCCGATTCGTAACCACTATGCTACCAGAGCTCCTTAAATCTGGATAGTCCCCTGTAATTTACCAGCATCCCTGCCACTTTATGTAACATGGAGACAGCATGCTGTTGTTAAGTGACATGGAGTCTATTCCAACTCATAGAAATCCTGGATAGAGTGCCGAGGAGTGGCTGGTGTCACTGAACTGTTGATCTTGTATTTAGCAGCCAAGTGCTTATCCTACAACGCCACTCAGGTTACCTTAAGCTTTCTGTAGTTGACTTTCTTAGAGGAAAAAGTGAAATATGTCTTATACCTATGTATAAAAAAAGGCATGTGGAGGCAGTGTCTGACCTCTAACTTCACAGGAGTAAAGGAGGAGAATTACCATCAACCCAAGGACGATTCTTGAGGCTGTGGATCAGGCATATCTCTACCCTTCTTTACCAATCTGACACCAACCATCCCCTTCCACAGCACTCTCTAATCAGCTTCATTAGATAATTCAGTATAATGGCCATAAAGAACTTAGACACCATACTCACAGTTAAGGGGTCTATTAGGTTACAATTCAATATCAGAAATGTACAGGACACAGTTCTTTCAATCAGGACAGCCTCTTTGCAGTCACGCCCACAAGCAGGCCTCTGGTCCTTAGCCTCTCAGCCACAGGCCCCTTAGTTCTCTGCCCTGCTCCAGTAATGTTACAAAGCTCTTTTAGCACTGCTGTTAAATGCCCAAAGGGCATGCCATATCATTATAAGCCTCCACCCAAAGACACTCAGCTCTAGCTCCAGGGGTCAGCAAACCCAGCTCCCCAACTGAGTGCGTGGAGGCACCCCATTCCCTAAGTGCGAGTCCCGCACAAAGGCACTCAGTATTACTTGCTCCATGGGCTGGCTGGGAAGTCCATCAGTCTGTCTCGCCATGTGGCTCTTAGTTCTGTTGCTGCTGCTCCTCTGCCACTTTTCTGATACTCCTACAACCTCACACCTTTCTGTCACTGCATCAAAAACACCTTTCTGTTGCTGGGTCAAAAAGATTTCACCGGTAGGGAGGATCTGAGAGTCCAAAGGACACACTTCACTCCTGACTCTTCTTCCTTGATGGTAGTGAGATTCCCCAATTCTTGGTTCTGAGATAGTTGGTTTTAAACCCAGCAAGATGGCTAAACTGAGCAATCCTCTCATTAGATTTCCAAGGATTTACCATCACAATTAGCCACATAAGCAATCATTCACAACTAAAACATATCACCCTATCAGCATTTGAGCCCACCTTCTCTTACCCAGAACTATTAGGAAACAAAGTTGTTTGGTGAGAGTTACAAAAATTATGGTTAGACGAGCTATATGAAGTATTTCACGGCACTGCATTGTCTCTACCAAAGTGTGAAGAGAAGTGGCCCCACTTTTTTCATTTGTTTTATTTATCTGCCCCCTCCACCATAGGCATTTTGAGTTTGTAAGCACTATAACAGCTAGCATGAAGTAGCTTTTAGTCCTAATTGATTTGCTCTGCAATATAGTGGTTACGAATCGGGCTGTGAACCTTAAGGTCAGCGGTTCGAAACTACCAGTCGCTCCGTGGGAGAAAGATGAGGCTTTCTACTCCCGTAAAGATTTACACCCTCGGAAACCCTGTACAGGGTCGCTATGGGTCGGACCCGACTCGATGGCACTTAACATAACATAACATAACATAACATAACATAACATAACATAAATATATATATATCACCTGATAGCACTAATAATGGAGTCCTGGTGTGGCGCTGTGGGTTAATGCACCAGACTGAAAAGCTGTTTGAACTGCAAGGTCGGTAGTTCAAGCTTACCAGCTGCTCCTCGGAAACCCTATACAGGGTCGCTATGGGTTGGAACCGACTTGACGGCATTTAATAATAACAACAACATCACTAATAATGATATTCCACATATTTTTATGATAAAATTGAGTCTTTGGTAAAGTTACTGTGTCAATTTTTTCAAACACTAAAGCACATATAGAAAAGTCAATGCAAATAACAGTTTATAAGTAAGCTCAATATATAATTAAAATTTAATATTTAAATTCAATATACAATTTTAAAAAAAGAAAATTACCTTTCAGAAGATGATTTAGGTCCATTGTGTCATGTAAAACTTTCTGCTTATATCTTTGGTCTAAATTAGAATCTAATGATGAGGACTTTGAGGTTGACGTAAGACAGGGACCGCATTTTTCTTTCCCTTTTCCAGGTGATTTCAAATGTTTTGAGTTATACAGTAAGTCTTCACCATTTTCATATACTTCTTGACTAACATTTTCTTGTCTTTTAACTTTAACTTTTTGATCATTTGATGTAGCCAGTTCAAAAGACTGCAGAGGGCTGATGTCTGGGGTTGATAGAGGAGTTACATCAGTCACAGTATCTTCAGATTCCTCAGTATAATCACCAACTTTTGGTTTAGTACTTAAAGGCTGCATTCCTACTGATTTTATTCCTGAATTATATTTCTGTTTTGGTGATAAAAGGGTTACACCAGAAACATGTTTCTTTAATGATGGAGATGAATCAGATATACAGCTATCAGACCCTGTATCTGAACAATCTGTATCTGAACTTGAAGATGAGGACAAAGAGGAAGAGGAGGAAGAGGAACTCATTTTGGAATACTTTTTATTTACTCCTTTTTTAAAGGAGCTATTAGGTGGTTTAGCTGACTTGGACCTGATATGATGTCTTTTCCCATCATCACTGCTTTCCTCACTATCTGTATAGTAATCATCACCTTCTTTTACAATTTTGGGAATTCTATTTGAAATGGGCAAGTGCATCTTAAGTCCTACGTCACACTGTTTTTCTGACCTTGAAGAAGTGGTCAAAGATGAACTTCTAGTGTGCATGATATTGTTCTCTAGATAATGCTCTTCTAGAGGAATGTCTTCTTTTTTCCCATTTCCCTTCTCAGTAAGATGATTTTCTTTAGTTTGGAGTCCAAATTTCAAGTTAGTATTTTCTGTATCTTTATCTAGTCTCTCTTTAGTAACATCAATTTGCTTATCAAACACTGACTGACTTTCACATTTCTGTGCTTCTTCAAAGTCACTGTCAAAGAAAGAATGATCTACTTCTCCTTCGGATATATCTGCAAACCGGTCCATGATGGTAATAATATTTCTGAAAAGAAAGAAAGTGCAACCATCAGACTAATTTTTAAATACATTTCATTTTTATTTACTGCAAACTATTTCCAAACTTGGAAGTTTGTCTACTATATTGTCTTCTGCACCCCTGCAAAATAAAATGCATAGCTGAGTGAAGTGATGATAGGCCTACAGCAGTAAAATAAATAAATAAATCTAATAGCTCAGTTCACAGAAAAAAAGTACCAAATCATCAGGGCAGGCATATCACAAAGATATCTTGGTGAATAAAGAAAAGAGACCTTCCATAAATTCAATAGTTAGCGTTTAAAATAAGAAAGGATGGAATTCCCAAATACCACAGGAAAATTTCTACAGCTAATGGAAGTAAAATTTAGCAAAGTTACAAGGTACAAGATGAACAACAAAAATAAGTTGAGTTTCTACATACCAGCAATGAAAAACCTGAAAGGGTAATTAGAGAAACAATTTTGTTGCAATAGCAGCTAAGAGAATAAAATTCCTAGGATTAAATCAACCAGGGACATGAAGGAATTATACAGTGGAAAAGTACAAACTCAGGGACATGAAGGAATTATACAACGGAAAGTACAAACTTTTGCTGAAAGAGATTAAAGAAGGCTTAAACAAAAAGAACAATGTCCCATGTTCACTGATTGGAATACTTAATGTTGTTAAGATGTCAATACTGCCTGTCATAGACTAAATTGTGTTCCCTCAAAATATGTGTCAACTTAGCTGGGTCATGATTCTTAGTAGTTTGGCAGTTTTGTAAAGATGTAGTTTGGTAGAGATGTAGGAGGATTCCCCATGAAGTGATCAACTGTGACGAATCAGTACGAGAATTAAGGGAGGGCTATAATATCTTTCCACAATTTGTGTCAAGTTTGTCATACTGTGGTGGCTTGTGTGTTGCTGGAAGGTAGATCACTGATAATTTAAATGCCAGCAGGGTCACCCATGGTGGACAAGTTTCAGCAGAGCTTATAGACTAAGACAGACTAGGAATGATAGACCACTTCTGAATGGTTAACCAATGAAAACCTCATAGATAGCAGCAGAAAACTGTCTTATAAAATAATGGATTATATGAAGCAGCATGTGGCGTCAGGATTGCAGGAAGGCTCATTAACAACCTTAGTATGCAGATGATATAAACTTGTTTGCTGAAAAGTCAAAAGGACTTAAAATACTTACTGATGAAGATCAAAGACCACAGCTTTCAGTATGGATTGCTCGTCAATGTAAAGAAAACAAAACTACTCACAACTGAACCAATAAATAGCCTATTGATACATGGAAAAAAGATTGACATAAAAGATTTCATTTTGTTTGGATCCACAATCGGTGCTCATGCAAGCAGCAGGTAAGAAATCAAATGTCATCTGCTTTGCCCTGGCCGTTTCCACCTTATCAGCCATGGTCATGTCTAAAGGGCATTGTATTAAGGAAGTTCTTGAACTTTCTTTGGTGGTGGAAGATAAAGTTAAAGTCTACAAGAAGACCAAGGAGGCAGTTTTACTGCTTAAGAAACTTAAGGCTTGGAATGGTATTAAGAAGATCTATGCTTCTCAGCAAATGAGAGCTGGCAAGGGCAAAATGAGAAATCACCAACGTACCCACCGCAGCGGACCATACATTATCTATAATGAAGACGATGGTATCATCAAGGCCTTCAGAAACATCCCTGCAATTACTTTGATTAAGGTAAGCAAGCTAAACATTTAAAAACTTGCTCCTGGTGGACATGTGGGACGTTGCATTTGGACTGAAGGTGCTTTATGAAAGTTAGATGAGTTGGATGATACTTGGTGTAAAGTTGCCTCCTTCAAGAGTACCTATAACCATTAGGATGAATGTAAATAAAGCTAATGTTCTCCCATGTAAACCATCACATAATTCACAATAAACATTAAAAAAGAAACAAACAAAAGAGTACCTATAACCTTCTCATGCATAAGATCATCAATACAGACCTTAACAGAATCTTGAAAAGCCCTTAGATCCAAAGAGTGTTCCAAGCACCACACAAGAAGATTCACTGCAGAGTCCTGAAGAAGAATCCACTGAAAAACCTGAGAATCATGTGGAAGCTGAATCCATAAGCAAAGACCATGCACCAAAACACTACTCTTCGCTAGGCTAGGAATCACAAACTTAGGGTGGCTAAGGCAACAGCAGCACTAGAGGCCAAATCAGATGAGAAGAGGGTTCCAGTCAAGAAACCTGTGGCAGGGAAGAAAGGAAGGAAGAAGACTGTCAGTGTGAAGAAGCTGAAGAAAGTCACTGTGGTGGGAAAGTAGCCTGCAGCGAACAAGAAACCAGCAGCTGAGAAAAAGTAATCAGCAGTAAAGAATCCTCCCACAGAAGAAAAGAAGCCTGATACATAAACTTTATATTTGTTTCTCCCAAATTAGTCAAATAACTTTGGACGGCGTATTTTGAATAAAGACAGGCCTGGTCATAAAAAAAAAAAAGAGGAAGAGAGAGAGAGAG